TTTTGACAAAGCATATACGATGAAGTTTCGACAAATCATTTACGCTCATTTGACAAAGCATATACGTTCATTACGATGAAGAAGTCTTGACAAAACATATACGAAGAAGTCATGACAAAACATATACGATGAAGTTTCGACAAATCATTTACGTTCATGTTTGACAAAGCATATACGTTCATTACGATGAAGAAGTCTTGACAAAGCATATACGATGAAGTTTTGACAAATCATTTACGTTCATGTTTGGCAAATCATTTACGATGAAATCATGACAAAGCATATACGCTCATTACGATGAAGAAATCATGAAAATTCAATGAGGTGAGAAAAGAGGTGAGATCTCACCTCTTCACCTAAAATATATTTTTGGATCATTTACGCTCATTACGATGAAGAAACCATAACGAAACCATTGACGTTCATGTTTGACAAAAACATTTACGTTTAAGTTTGACGAAACATGTACGTTCATGTTTGACAAAACATATACGATGAAACCATAACGAAACCATTGACGTTCATGTTTGACAAAAACATTTACGATGAAATCATGACAAAACATTTACGAAGAAGTTTCGACAAAACATGTACGATGAAATCATGACAAAACATTTACACTCATTACGATGATGAGGTCATGACAAAACATGTACGTTCATGTTTGACAAAACAATACGATGAAGAAATCATGAAAATTCAATGAGGTGAGAAAAGAGGTGAGATCTCACCTCTTCACCTAAAATATATTTTTGGGTCATTTACGCTCATTACGATGAAGAAATCATGACAAAACATGTACGTTCATGTTTGACAAAAACATTTACGATGAAGAAGTCTTGACAAAACATATACGATGAAGTTTCGACAAAACATGTACGATGAAGAAATCATGACAAAACATTTACGCTCATTACGATGAAGAAATCATGACAAATCATTTACACTCATTACGATGAAGAAATCATGACAAAACATTTCCGTTCATGTTTGACAAATCATTTACGCTCATTACGATGAAGAAATCATGAAAATTCATGAGGTGAGAAAAGAGGTGAGAAAAGAGGTGAGATCTAACCACTTCACCTAAAATATATTTTTGGGTCATTTACACTCATTACGATGAAGTTTTGACAAAACATATACGATGAGGTCATGACAAAACATATACGAAGAAATCATAACAAAACATTTACGATGAAGAAATCATGACAAAACATTTACGATGAAATCATAACAAAACATTTACGTTTAAGTTTGACAAAGAACATACGATGAGGTCATGACAAAACATATACGAAGAAATCATAACAAAACATTTACGATGAAGAAATCATGACAAAACATTTACGATGAAATCATGAAAATTCATTGACGATGAAACCATGACGAAACCATTCACGATCCAACCTTGACAAAGCATATACGTTCATGTTTGACAAAACATTTACGATGAAACCATAACGAAACCATTGACGTTCATGTTTGACGAAACATTGACGTTCATGTTTGACAAAAACATTGACGATGAAACCATGACGAAACCATTGACGTTCATGTTTGACGAAACCATTGACGTTCATGTTTGACAAAAACATTGACGATGAAATCATGACAAAACCATTGACGATGAAACCATGACGAAACCATTGACGTTCATGTTTGACAAAAACATTGACGATGAAACCATGACGAAACCATTGACGTTCATGTTTGACGAAACCATTGACGTTCATGTTTGACAAATTCATTGACGATGAAACCATGACGAAACCATTGACGTTCATGTTTGACGAAACCATTGACGTTCATGTTTGACGAAACCATTCACGATCCAACCTTGACAAAAACATTGACGATGAAGAAATCATGACGAAACCATTGACGATGAAACCATGACGAAACATTTATGTTATACAGTAATGTTAGTCATGAATGTTTGTCCTACGTGTTGGCGTTAGTGTTGAAAAATAATGTTTGTCCTACATGAAGCCGTACAAGCGTTTGAATTTGTTTATGCATAAGATTACTCTCTTGTTTTCTGTATCTATCATACAAACATAAGCAGCACCTGTTTTTGTAAAGTTTATATGAAGTTTTCGATAGTTAGACCTGTATAGTAATAGAATGCGTCCTCATTCTCAACATAGTAGTAGAACTCAAACGAATGCTTACCATAATCTGTTATTTCAACAGCTTCGTCAGATATTTCATCAACGAACTCATAAACTATATCGCCATACTTGCTTTTATTTCTATTGTTTTCAGATCTAGAACACCAACGAAGGTTTGAGATTCTGTTGTCCGTTCTATCATGATTTATATGGTCTATTTCTTTCAAATTGTTTGGATTTTCAATCCACTGTTCTGCAATAATTCTATGCTTTAAATGTGTTTTGTTGTTTAAACTAAGCTCAATATAACCATGATTATTTAAGCATTCACTCTTAATATGTTTGTTTTTCTTTCGACGAATAGTAAAAGGATATGTCGTACAAATCTCATAATCTTCATGATTTCTCAATGTTTCCCATTGAGTTTGTTCCCCACTAACGTTCTCATTGACGTCCTCAATATCTTCTTCCTCACTGAACTCGTCAATATTTTCACTAGCTCCTTCTGTAATGTTTTCATCGGCATTGTCATTGACTTCTTCTGTAATGTTAGATGTTGTTGTTTCGCTCATGTTCTTTCACTAATGTTAAAAGTTATGTTGTACGAATTTTGAACAGAATTTAGAGCAGTTATGAAACAATGAAGTATTTTTACGCTATTGAAAGGAACTATGAGAGTGAAGTACATGATAACAATGACAAAAGGAACTAATATCAAACCTAATGAAATCGCTCACGAGGACATAGAGCTTAACAAGTACTTTGTGGAGTATCTTATAAGTGAAGAGTATGTAAGACCTTACTTCATGTTTGACAGCATGAATGAGGATGTTATTTCATGGTTAAAGAATATAAGCAATGTTTTCGGTAAGTACGTAGTAGATGACAAAGGTCTTGTTGTATTTTATGAGACAGCAATACGAACACAGGAACTAATGGATATTATGCACTCAACAGCAAAGAAAGGATTTAGTACTATTGGCATGAATGAACATTGCAGGAATGACATATACAACCTATGCTCACGAAAGCCTTACACAAAAGCAATACAAATGATAGAACATAAGTGTCTAAGGTCAGCAAATGAAATCATTACTGTCAGTGGTTATGAAAGAACTGTTAGCAAAGATGAGTGGAAACAGCTATTCATATTAAGGAAGGACGTTGCTGAACTAGTTAAACCTGTTGCACAAACATTGTTTCAGATAAGACCAGCAATGACTAAGAACCCTTTGACCTTAGTCAATGAGACCATAGAGGTTGAAGATAATGACATGAAAGAACTAGGAATGAATGAGAGAAGTTGTGAAGGATGTTTGAGTCAAAACACATGGTTCTTCAGAGCTGTTAAGAAACTTAGTAAAGAACGACAGAAATATTTTATAGAGAAGTATTGCAAAGGATGTGTAAATGAATTGCTTGAAATAGAACTTAGAGACACTTTCACACTAAAGGACTTGAGGAGAAATAAGTACATGAGTGAGGACGGTATTGACATAGCTAGTGTTATAAATGACTTAAGAAGATGTGTTGTTGTTATTGACGGAGCACGTATGACATATCTAGTGAAAGATTATGATGGAATACGAGACACAACAACACTTGTGACAGTAGATAGCAAGGAATTCAATAAGCTCATGAAGAGTGTTTATGTAGGACGTATTGAGGAGAAGGATGTGAACGCACTGATGATTTATGAAGCGGGTCAGAACAAGAACTATCTTATGAAGTCAGGCATGAGATTCTTTGACGAAAGAGATGACATTTACAGCTATTTCAGAGGATATGAGTATGAGGTACTGAATGAAGTAGATGAAAGCGTTATTGAAGGATATTTGAAACATGTTCACGATGTCATATGTAATGAGGATGAAGAGCTTTATGAGTATGTTTTGAACTGGTTCGCCTACATCGTTCAAAATCCTTGTGGAAAGACTGGAACAGTACTTTTGTTAGTAGGAAAGCAAGGAACTGGTAAGAATGTATTTAGTAATGTTCTATGCGAGCTCATTAGCAAGTACGCCAACAATAATATAACGGCAATAGAGAATGTGGTTGGTAGATTCAATGCTGCTATTGAGAACATGAAGCTCATCGTATGCAATGAACTAAGCTCATGCGATACGTCTAAGGTCATGAACCACGACGCACTAAAGTCAATAGTAACAGAGACTCAGTTGGACTTAAATCAGAAGTGTCAGCCAGTAAGAAAGATAGAGAATGTTTGTAATATCATCATGATATCTAACAACTTCAACTCAGTAAAGATTGACAAAGACGACAGAAGATTTGTTGTCATTGACGTAAGCAGCAGATACAAAGGAAATTACGAATATTTCTCAAATCTCATTGAAAGCTTTAATGAAGAGTTTTATTCAAACTTACTGACGTACTTCATGAAGAAAGATTTAAGTGAATTTGATGTAAGGAAGATACCATTCACCAGGGCTAAACAAGAACTCATCGAAATGAACAAAACACCTTACCAAATGTTTTACGAGGAGTTCTATGAAAAGTTTGTATCCGGATGGAATTGTACAGAGTGCTACAGAAGATATAAAGAATTTGCGAAGGAGAATGAATTCTTTGCATGTAGTTCAAATGTATTTGGCGGCAAGATGAGAGAATTTGTGAAGAGAAGTAGAAAGCGAGACGGTTCTGCAAGAAGTTATATTTACGAAGCAAGTATGATATTAGAAGGTCGTGGAAAGAAAGAAACAGTGAATTATGAGGAAGTGCTTGAAAAATTCATGGAGTACATGGGAAGCAATATAACATACAACAAAGACATATATAGTGAGTTTAAGTACTACTGTGAACAGCATGAGATTGAAGTAATGAGTAAAGGAGACTTTGAAACGCTTATGAAAGACAGTAGGAGGTCGTTCATGAGAACATGATGAAATAGTTCATGAGAACAGTAAGGAGGTCGTTCATGAGAACAATGATGAAATAGTTCATGAGAACAGTGAGGAGGTCATACATGAGAACAGTGATGAAATAGTTCATGAGAACAGTGAGGAGGTCATACATGAGAACAGTGATGAAATAGTTCATGAGAACAGTGAGGAGGTCATACATGAATGCAATGATGAAATAGTTCATGAGAACAGTGAGGAGGTCATACATGAATGCAATGATGAAATAGTTCATGATGTCGTTCGTGAAGAAGCCATTGCAACAAAGAATGAGATAAAGGATTTCATAGAACTTAACAAGGAGGAGTTTAAAGAAGGCTATGAAGTGAAAAGATGTGAAGAAGATTTCTTGGCGTATTTGAAGAAAAAGAGACTAAAGCCAATGGCTCAAAATAAGTTTCAATCGATGTTTGAAAAGAAACGTTTGAGCTATGGTGGTGTAAGAAGCACATATTACTTTGTTAAGAAGTGAGGACATTTATTTTTGTCGTTAGTGTTGGAGTTTGTGTTTGTTGTTAGTGTTTGTCATTTGTGCTGAGTTTGTGTTTGTTGTTAGTGTTGGAGTTTGTGTTTGTTGTTAGTGTTTGTCATTTGTGCTGAAGTTAGTACTTGATGTTAGTGTTGGAGTTTGTGTTTGTTGTTAGTGAGAGAATAAATTAAATCATGAACTTTGCCATGGTCTCTGTCCCTAGTAGTTTTCATTAAGTTCTGGAAATAATGAAAGTCATAAACTTTGCCATGGTCTCTGTCCCTAGTAGTTTTCATTATCTCACAGAGTTAATGAAAGTCATACTTTCTATCAGATGAAGCATGCAGATGAACATAACGAAAGTTAGTGAGTTTGCCACGAGTTATGAATAAAATATTGGCATATTAGATGAGATAGTTGATGAAACAGATGAAGATAAATTAAATCTTGGACTTTGCCACACTCTGTCCCTAGTTCCTCAAAATCCTTGACAACGTTGCTTAGAAATTTTGGTTCAAAACCTCATCTGATTTTAATCTGTTATGCTACCTGTTAAGTTTCGCGAGATTATAAATGTCATGGAGTTATATAAAAAGGAGGGACAGCTAGGGACACTGGAAGTACTTGTAAGGCTATCTGTTAAGATTGCATGAAATACTAAAAAGTCATGAAATCCATTATCGCTGTGCTAGCTTCACCTTAGAGTAAAATGACGACTAAAGTCACTGAAGCAATGAAACAAAAGTTTTTGGTAGAATACATTAAATCAGGAATTATTCCAGAAGGTTTTTACATTCATACTATGAAGGATGGTAGAGTTCAGTTTAGAAAGATAAAGCAACCATTAGATAAAGAAGGAATTTTGAGAAAGATTAAACTTCATGAGGACAACATTGCTGAACTTAAGAAGAAGTTAGAAGAGTTGGAGAAAGCAGACGACAGTGAGGAATAAAGCAATGAATTCAACAGGGTAGAAATGAGGTTAGAAATCGGGTTAGAAATCGGGTTAGATCTCACCACTTCACCTAAATTTATTTTTGTGCTATGTTTTCATACGTGTGAGGGTGGTGATATCATTTATTTTTTATTTTATTTTTTAAAATTATTTTTATTTTATTTGGATGTAATGACAGAACAAAAATAAAGCATATCTACTCAACAGGAATGAGACCCTTACTGACTATGTATTCGTTTAATGCTTGATGAAAACAATGGTACATATTATCGTATGGGTATACACAGCGTCTGTTTCCATCGTCGTCGTATATGTAGAGCTCAAATCCAGTCCAACCTTCTTTTGTACAATATGTAGCTTTATTTAAGTATGCATTTATGTAGATAAGGCAATTTTCTTCATCGCTCCAGAAATAATTTTTGTTCTTTGTTGAAATAGTTTTCGTTCCTCTGCGACCATAAGGAATGTATGCAATGAACTTTGCGTCATATGGGATTGTAATATATTCGGGGTTTCTTTCATCGTCAATGGGTCTATCTTTGTTAAAATGCATGTTTCTCAGTTTTACTTGAGTTTTGAATAGTTCACGGAAACGTTCTGGGAAAGAGTCATAGTAAATGTAGTCGGACATGTCTTTGTAATGAAATAAAAAAATTAAAAAAAATAAAAATAAGGTTATTTTTATTTAGTGAGGACGGTAGTGAATTCATTAGTGAAGTCATTAGTGAAGTCATTAGTGAAGTCGTTTATATGTCAGATGGTTTTGTAAATATTTAAGGTTAAGTTGGTGTTATGGTTGTGTTGTAAAATATACGTTACCGGTTTCGTAAAGTGTCAAAACCGCTAAGTGGTGTACGGAGGCGCGCAGTGCCACAGTACACGACTTAGGGATACTAACTAAATTATATCTATATTAGATTTGAAATGATAATTTTTAACATAATTTATATTTAATGTAACTGCCAATGGATTATTGCATGTTAAGAAACATCCAATTAATATGAAAAATATAAAAACTAATTAAAAAAAATAAAGATTTTTATGTCATTTTTTAAAATTTAATTATTTCAGAGGGATTATACCTGGTTTGAAAACACATAAAATAAGCGAAATAATATTAAAATTACAATTATCTAATATTTACCAAAGAACGCTGAACTTCTGCAAAAAAATATGAGTAATTTTAAACTTTTTAAACAATTACAAAGACCAAATAGGATTTCATATGGTTATATACAGCTTCTTCCAAAAGAATAAAGATTTAAAAGAAAGTTTTAAAGTAAGATTTCACAAATATTTACTTGCTGGAGAGAATCAGAGTATAGATGTATCACATTATTCAATTAATAACCATATATGAGAAATAAAAGAGGATTAATTACTTTTTAAGTAATTAAATCTCGAAATATATTTAAATAAACTCCCAATTCATAAATTGCAGTCCCTCATACATTCTCTCACAAAATTATGCAATGTCACTCCATATCCAGCTTATATTTCCAACAACATCAGTTAAATGTTTTCGAATTTTAAATTTTTCGAATTTTAAACATTTTATTTGCTCTATTTTGATTAGAATAAGTTTGTGGCACATAAAATATATTAGACATCACTCATTCTTCATAAAATTTAAAAATTCAAATAACAAGTAAGATTCCAAGCTCAATGATGGATATTCTATAATTAAACTATCTGCATATTATATTTCCCTCAGCTAGTGTATGACAATTTATAATTTATTTTAAGTATTGAATTTTAATTTAAGTTTTTTCAGTTTGTATATTAATATTATAACTAGCGACTCAAATTAAAATTCAGGGCTGGTTGTATGCTTATCGATTCATGATATTTGTTGATACTTATATTTAAAAATGTATTTGTAAAGCATTTAAGTATGATTGCAATAAACTGGTCTTTTAAAGATTTATTTTTGACTCGGAATTATTGGGTACTTGTAGAAAATTTATTATATCAAATTTTGATTATTCAACAAAATACCACAAAAGTCAAAATTCAGTAAAAGAAAACATTGCTATTAATGAGTACATCTTCCGACCAACTATTTGTTTTAAATTCTGAATGTCGAAATTTCGATATTTGAAATAAATCTGTTTTAAACATGATGGATCTGTTCCTTTATGTGTATACATGAATGTGATATATGAAGGCATAGGTCGAAGTTTAAGATAAATTGCAATCTTCATCCATCAGCAAAACTGTACGTTAATTCCCCGTGTTGCCCAAGGTATTCAATTCTATCCCCGTGTTGCCCAAAAGTACTCAATATTTGAGAGGAATTGAATAGTTTACACCCGTGTTGCCCCCGTGTTGCTGCAAAAAAATAAAACCCGTTTCTACCGATAAGTTATCATTACTTATTATATGTCTAACTCATAGAAATCCACATACATTTTGCATTGTGACATGATCGTTTATTACAAACATGATTTTGAATCATATGTAAAAATCCAATCAGAAATTCACTATTAAAAGAGAATACGAATTGCTCAAATAAGAAATATTAAGTAAAATAATATAAAACATATATTTAAAAACAAAATTTTCGATAAAAAGATCAAATATTGTTATTAACAACTTGTCCAAGCGCAAAAATCACTTTAATACGCTTGTACTTAAGACGGTTATCTATTTTGTCCTGATCCATGACACAGTCTGGGTTTGGCGTCTTAATAGGTGTCACGTTAGGTGTAATTGCAGCTGTTTCAAATGGAGTTTCCTTTGCTGTATATGCAGCTGTTCCATATGGAGTTAATTCAGCTGTTGTAAATGGTGTTGAATGTGGTGTCTCAAAAGCAGTTGAGAATGGTGTCAAATAAGGTGTTTCACCTGCAGTTTGAAAAACTGTGATAAACGGAGTAATTGCAGCTGTAGTGAATGGAGTAGTCACAGCTGTAGTGAATGGTGTCATTTCAGCAGTTGAGAAGGCAATTCCAAATGGTGTTTCCTCTGCTGTTAAGAAAGGTGTCTCATGCTCTGTTGTGAATGGAGTTTCAGGTGTTGATAATGGTGTCTGAAAAACTGTTACAAATGTGTTTCACCAGCTGTCTGGAAGACAGTTATGTAAGGAGTCGTTTCTGCTGTTGAGAAAACAGTTGTGAATGGTGTTGTTTCTGCTGTTGAAAAGACAGTAGAAAATGGTGTCGTTTCGGCTGTTGTGAATGGTGCCAAATAAGGTGTTGTCTCAGCAGTTGTGAATGGTGTCAAGTATGGAGTTGTTTCAGCTGTTATATATGGAGTCTCAAAAGCTGTCCTTTCAGGTGCTGATGGTTTGTATGTATCGAACTTGAGTTTGAGAGGCTCCTGATAACAAATAAAGTCATTGCTGTGTACAGGATCACCAATTGAACTTTCTATGGAAAATTCAACTTCTGGGACACCTGATCCTTGCTTTGGGCTTTCATCAGTAAATGTAACGTAATTCTCATTACTAGTAGTGTAATTAGTAAACCAACAATTAACAATTTTAATAGATGATTCAGATAAGAAATTAATATCTAAGTAATTGTCTATAAATCCCCATTTATCAAATCTAACTTCTGTAGAACTTTTAATTTCAACGCCAATATGATTGAATAAAAAAGAGGAAATCAAATGGATTTTTGTTCTGTAAGTTCTCGAAGTATAATGCAACTGACGATTCTGTTGTGGAATTAATAAAGTACACTTGCTGGAAAAAAATTGATTCTAAGCTTATTATGTTCATCATCTTTATCAAAAGTCGATTATATGAACAATTGACAATATTAATTTCTGCTTTTATATGTTAAATCCAAAAGCTCCGTCATTAACACCTGAAATTGCAGTTTTGGAAATCTTGACACGATCAGTTGGGTCACTTTCAATATGAAGTACACATCCATTATCCTTTTTAGTAGAGTAGCAATTTTTAAAACAGAATCCTTCGAGCGCAAAGCGATCTATCGTACCTTCCTGGGGATTAACATTTCCGACGTAAATTAAGCCTTGAACTCCGGAAATGCAATTGTACATTGAGCAATCAGTAAGTGTTACTTTGAATTTATTTGCATAAAGAACTGAATCAGCTTGATTATTAATATTATAAAATGTAGATTTTATAAATGTAAACTGTTTGTCATCGGCTGTATATTTAAGACCAGATTCTGACAACCTTGCAGCATCAATAATATGTTGTTCTTCTTTCCATTCTTCAAGAGAAACAGCAATGAACGCCCGAATCATTTAAATGTATCTACCGCAAATTAAATTACATAGAAAAAAAATATTGAATAGTTCTACCGGAATATATTATGAAGACTTAATCGAATAGATTATATTTAATTCAAGTTTTCAAATATGAAACACAATTATTCATTATTGAAATATTTCAATGAGAATGTTTAAGTTGACGATTCATGTTTATTCTTCAATTTATGTTTTCATTTCAAAAGAATTTTTTTGAATATTTTTGAATTAAAAGACTTTTGTCGGAAAATGAAATTCGCTCTATGAAATGTAAAGAAATACGTGATTTTGAACATTTTAAGTGAGGATTATTGTTATCGTCTTTCTCTTGAATCGATTTTTTGACAAAAATTATTTCACAAATAGAATATAAATATGATGTAGATCTATGATTTATGATTAGGTATGGGCCTTGCCATATAAATTTTGTGGATTAACGATAGCCTTTATTTGGCCGCATTGTGGACCCTTAATTTTTTCTCAATTCAATTTTGAGAAGAAACTTTGTAAAACTCCAAAATACAACCGAATGAAGCTGAACAAAAATAGCATTTAGAAATTTATTGAAGCAACTCATAGAATTTGTAAAAAAAATTGACGAAACTCAAAGAGAATAAATGTATAAAATAATCCAATGTTTCTAATTTGGTTAATTGCAAAAATGCAAATATATTTGTTGTAAGAATGGTGTCGAATTTTATTTTCTTTCAAAATTTTGTGTAAATGCTTTATGAGAGCTGTGTTCTCTTAAAATACTCACAGCAAGAAGGATCACAAGTTCTCGAATGTCACCCAATAGAGAAATCATTCATCCAGCATAAAAAACCTTTCCTTTCATGCGCTTTTCCAGAAACACAGTATTATGACTCAATTTATTCATTTTCGATTAGATCTTACTTATGTTTTACATGGACTTTCATAAATTGTAACATATTATACTCAATAGTAATCATTTCTCATCATAATTTTGCATCATTATTTCTAAATTTTCTTAAAAACGCAAAGCGACAATTAGAATTGGATACACCATACGAACGATATCATCATGTTATTGATGAAATCAGTCGTTGGGAATTAAATTATCGGACCAATATTCTTACGTTCTTTAGTTTTGGAACAAAAGGCACTAGATTGCTCAACGAAAGTGATGCCTATTACTTACAATTTGATCCATCTATATATTTCGGTTCTCTTTCAAAAATGAAACAAATTTGGATTTCATTACTAACAAATAGAGGTGTTTTGATAATTGGAAATAGTGCAGAGAATGTTTCATCAGCTGTTTTTGCTGCAATGTCTATCATTGCACCCTTAAAATACACAGAAAAATATATAATTTACACAAAATTAGGAGACAATCGATTTTCGGATATGATCATTGGATCATTAGAATATAAACTTGTAGGTACAACCAATTATTTGGCTAAAGATAGATGCAAACAATATGAAACGATTGTTGAATTGCCTTCAATTCTTTACGCTCCTCGACCAAAGCTTAGAAATGCTGTTAATAGAATGACATCATATTTATTAAAGAATTTTGAGGCTAGATTAGATAGGAAATTAAAATATGACCCTTTTTCGATTTTCTCGAAAAAGATCTCGATGAAACTGATATAAATAAGATTTCTGAAGGCACAAAAATGATGCCAAAAGAAATAAAAGACTTCCAAAAGACAGTTATCTTTAAAAACTGGAGAAAAAGTGTTAGAACAAGATCTGAATTTAGAGAATGCTTCTTATCAAATGGATATGATATAGATTTTCAGAAAATGAATGATGATGAGATAATTCAAATAAGAAAAGTGCTTTCTGAGCTTATTAAATCGTATTCTTATGATATTCATATGAAATCTGTTATATCTAGGCAAATTAACTTGCTCAAGCAGATATATAATCATACTGAATAGATATATTGATAGAATTTTGTTTGTTGTTTTGTTTTGTTTATAAAAGATAAATATTATCTTATAATTTGAGTCTTTCGGATATTAAACTTAATTACCTATGCTTTTAGATGTAAATCACATAATATAATGCTCTTATATGAATCATATTGTGTTAAATTTAACATCACAAATTTTAGCATCATTCTGATAATATTCTCTATTACAACAATGATATATTTCCATAAATAATCGTAAACTAATCATATAATCGATTCAATATTCATGAATTAAAAATAGTGAATTTATTAAAGTACAAAATAGCAAGCGCAAATGAAAAGAATGGACTTACACATGAAAATAAATATATTCACTATTATTTAATAATTGGATAAGAGTTGATAAAAAATCAAGAAGAAATCAATGATCTAGAAACCAAAAATATAACAGCAATGTGTTGCAATCATAGCTTATCTCTAAATGATGAAAATAATTGCGGATGGTTCGAAAACTCTCACAATTTTTCAATAAACCATTCAAATTGACAACATGGATACGTAATGTTATTTATGATTCTAATAATCAAATTGATAAATGGAGATGATCTAACAATCAAAATTGAATACCTAACCATTTTTGATTGATGAGCCAACTCGAATTGATCACCTCAGCAAATCAGGCTTTCTTAGAAGCAAATCCCGAGTTAACAAAACTTAATAAAGCACCACAGCGTCATATTGCTATTGTTACATGCATGGATACTCGCTTGGTTAATTTTGCCGAAGATGCGATTGGCGTAAAGAGAGGTGAGGCAACAGTTATTAAGGCCGCAGGTAATGGAATATGGACTACTGGACTTAGCGATATTGTAGTTTCGCTCTTAGTATCAATTTATGAACTTGGAGTTCAAGAAATTTTTATTATGGGCCATGAATGCTGCGGAATGACCCATGCATCTACAGATTCTCTAGGTGCACAAATGCTTAAGTCAGGAATTAAACCCGAGGACATTGAAAAGTTTAAATCAGATCTATCCAAATGGGTTGATGATTTCAAAGATCCTATTGATAACATTAAAAATTCTGTTAGATGTGTACGCGAAAACCCATTGATTCCAAAGAATATTCCAATCCATGGATTACTTATCCATCCAGATACTGGAAAAGTTACAACTATTATTAATGGTTATTGAATTTTGTACTTAATTATAAATAATATCTACTTAATTTTATTCTTTAAAAAAAATATTCGTAAAATTAGCTATGTAGAGGATGATATTGTTGCGAACAAGTTAAGTAATGATGCATTATTATCTATGATTATGGTTATTTATTTTTTTGAATTTTATTTCTTGGCTGGAATGAAAATTAGAAATCAAATCTATTTGTTCTTTGATCAAAAGTTATATGTTATAGCTTAATGTAAAAGGAGGGTAATTTTCCCCTCAAATAAAAAATACTAAGAGCGAAGAATGGGCCAAAAACAATTGTTCAAGTAATCTTTTGTCACTTTCATCGAAAAAATTGGCTTCAAGTAATAATTTTTAATATCAGTTCTAAAAAGTGTATTCGAATTTCTATCGGGTGCTTCAATTTTGTTCGATTTTATGAGCCCATATTGAAAGTCGATCGTCAGCGTAAAACAAATTACTACAATTAGACTAATATTATAGCATAATCAAATTGCTATGTCGTATTCAAATTATTTTGTGAGAGATATATTCAAAAAGTTTATATCCAATTAAAATCGAGAAGCATGTGTGTTCGGATTATATTTACTTTTTAGATTTGTAACTTTCTCAAAAACTTAAAAATAGTCAATTTCTGATTTTCTGATAGCTTGGTTTTTGAATGTGAATGCAAAAAGAATTTCTAGATAATAAGAAAAGATGGTTATCCTAGTATTTTTGCTCTAGATCATAATTTTCAATATATATTCAAAACGTTGATTTTTTGATTACCGTTGTCAAAGTTTTATTATCAATCAAAAAGTTCATTATTTCGAATGATGTCCAGTTCAATCGAGAGTGAAACAACATTAAAGCCAGTAAGGATGAGATTCACTCCAGAAGAAGATGCAATGATAAAAGATCTAGTTGAAAATAAAAAGATTAGTCCATGGAGTGAAGTTGCTAAATATCTTCCAGGAAGAACAGGAAATCAGTGCAGAGATAGATATAATTCATACCTTTATGCTAATACATCTTCAAAATCATGGACAATTGAAGAAGATAAAATGATTGTTGAAAAATATAAAGAATTTGGTCCGCGTTGGGTATTAATCAGTAAATTCATACCTGGAAGAAATGGAAATAGTATTAAAAATCGCTGGCACAAAGCTTTAGTTAAGTATCATGGAATCAAGCACAATAATGTAAAACAGGAAAGAAGAAATAAGAATCTAAAATATTGCCTAAATTGTCCAGCTACTCAACCAGTCAATAATGAAGATATAAATTTTCTCATAGATCAATTAGTTAAGAACATTCCTGATGATAGCGAAATGAATATTGATTTAGATTCTTGTTTCTCAGAATTTTATGCAGAGAATCTTGATTTTCCAGCTTTTGTATGAACTGTAACAATATAGAATAAAACTTTTATAATATATTAAATCCTCGTTTATCTGTCCTGCCTCTGAAATATCTAATAAAGAAAAATGAAAATTTTAAAAAATGGTCACTCTGGGGTTCGAACCCAGGCCCTCGCGGACCAGTGCCTTAAACTGGCGCCTTAGACCACTCGGCCAAATGACCTTACGTTTCTAACTAAAAAAACTTAATATCTTGATAAAAATTTCCAGTGATAAATCTTTGAGTGATCTTTTCGACCTTTCTGCGAAATTCTAGCTTAAGAATATATTGGATTTAGCACTAGAGTATTCAACAAAAGTAAACTATGTTGGCAGTGATCATAGTCTAGTATCAATACTACTCATAGATTAAAAATTCCTTTAATCATTACAACATAAAGTATGACTCTTTTCAATTCTCATCAAGCCCTTTTTGTCACCTCTTAATTAAGTTTATAAAACATAAATTGAACCATATTGAGATTGAAATTTTATATTAAACTATTCCGATTTTGCACATTCTGTTTATCTAATAATTTCGCATCTATTTTCTATTTTTATCAATAGAGTTTAAAACCCCCTTCATAAAACCTTTTTATTAATTTTATCATTTGTAATTGCGATTTTATTCATTTTGAAAAATATTATTGAGATATTTTATGTGCCATTCGTTCTCATTTTATTAGTAGTACAAGGAAATTTCAATAGAATTGATTAAAAACTTATATCCCAAAAAATTATTGCTGTAATTCCTTTAAATTTAGATTTCATCCTTCACACCATGCATACATATTATGTATTTTACTAAATATACTTATCAAACCCTATTAAACCTCTTTAAAATAGCCAATTTGATTTAATTGTATGATAGCATTCAAATAATATCCAGATTACATTGAAATTTACCATGGATATTATGAAATTAAATTCAAACTCATGAATCAAATTGCTCAAAATTCTGAATTTCAATTTGTCTTCTTTTCCTATAACATTCCGAAAAATAATTAAATTATCTTGTAACAATTCAATAGTTTTGCTCAAAAATGACAATTTGCAGCTGGTTATGCCTTTTCCTCAATTTTAAACGGTCACAACAAAATGGAAAGAGATATTGATGATGTTAGTAAGTCAGATGTCTCCTTACCAAGATATGTTGATTTATTGACACCATTTGCTTCGATTGAATTAAATAGAGAAGTGCAGCGCCTCATACAAGAGAAAACAATATTAGTTTCCGAGAATAGGCAGTTAAAAGAGGAACGCGACTTCTTTTATAGTCTACTAATGAAAAAAGCTCAAAATCCAAAAGCAGAACAGAATAAATTGAAACTAGAACTTCAAAAACATTTAAATTCAGAAATTACAATACCTCTACCCGAATTCCATGATATTGGAATAGATGCATTAAGCTATACTAATACACTCAGTTTCCTGAATTCCGAAATAATATCGATTTTGCCAGTTGAACACAAACAAGAACCTAAAGAAATCCCAAACGTTTTAAGCATACAAAAAGTCAATTCTTTCGAATCCAAACCAGAAGAAAAAATTGAAAGAAATATTATTTTGAGAATCAGAAAATGTTCCAATTTTAGCGTTCCATTAGAAGACAAATCAATGAAGATTAACACATTTAATATTTACAACTCTAATATCATTCACACACACAATTACTCAGATAAATTCACTCAATTCGAACCGGCAAAGAAGGATAAAGGAATCGACAACAACGGTCAAACAAATGATCATGCTGACATTGCAACTTCCAATGTTACAGATTTTGAACATTCTTCAACACAAACAGAAATTTTACCAAAATATTCAACTGCTGAATCCCAGTCAGAGTTACACTTTGTTAATGAAGCTTCTACACAATCTCAAAATGAGAGTAGTTTATCAAGTTTCCTTAATACATCAAAACAGATTCAATATAAAACTCAAAAAGTTCAAGCTACAAATGCAGATCGTTGTGACTTCTCAAAGAAAGAATTTTTATCTCTTTTATCAACATTTGAAAACACAACATTCAAACACGCAAAAGAAATGCTTTCTCTCGCTCAATCCGGTGATGCCATTGTTTCATATTTTACCAAACTCTGTGGCTCAAGAATTCAATCTTTAGAATTTGAAAATTCTGATCTAATTTGCGAAATCTGCAGGATTAGGCAAGAAAGTAGTGGAGCTATTGCAAAAACAATTATAAAATTGAAGAAGACATCAATCAATGAACTAGAATTGAAAGATGTAGTTTCAAGATGCTTATATAACAATTAATCTATTTAATACTTATTTGTTATTCATGTAATATCTGTAAATCTATCCTATGTTTAATAGCTATGTATTTTTACCTCTTTTTACAAGTATATTAAAAATTATTCAATCTAATTTTGATTGTACATTGCTATCAAGGATATAAGTCGTCAATACACAGATAATATGTCTCACACACATTAGAATAATTTTATAATAATCAAAAAATTGATTTGTTTTCAGATTATAGTGGAAATATTGATAAAATATCTCAACAGTAGACTGCCTTACAAAGAAAATCCCTAATATTTACATTTATGTTTTAATAATCATAAGTTTTTCCCTTATTTCAGATGAAAGAAATCAAATTTTCTCACAGTAAAAGTGACAAAAAAATTAAAAATGATTTTGTATTCAAGAATAAGGAAAACAGTCAAGTTTCCTCCAGATAAAAATGCTCAGAAGACAGCTATTATGTTTTCTGTCATTGGAAGATCTGGTGGTAGCATGATGGAATTAAAAAATGGACAATGTGAGGTAAAAAAAGTTTGCAAATTAACAGTAGATCGCCATGATGTTGTTAAGATCACACTCACTACAGAGGATAAGAGTCATTCCCTTGGAAAAACTACAGTCCCAGTCGAATGTTTTAGTTCTAATACAAAATGTAAAGCAGTACTAACATTAAATACTCGATTAGATTTTGATCCGATATTCGAATTTGAGTTTCACTTAGCTAAGAAGGAAGGCAATCCTTTCCATGCAGATAAAGGAAACTTTAAGAAAGATTTGATTAAAGAGCCACCAGAGACAACATTCAAGGAGAAAATGAGAAGAGAAACAATGCCTGCACCAGCTCCTGTTAGAGTTGAAAGATCTTCTTCATATTCCTCTGAAGAATCTTCATCTGAAAGTGAAAGCTCAGATTCTTCGTATTCGCAAGATGACGCACATACACAAGTTAATGTCAGACCTTTGGCAAGGCCAATGCCTCCTAAATCTTCAGCACCAATACCAAATGCAAAACCAATATCTCCAAGACCACCTTACGATCCTCAAATACACATTTCAGATTCAAATAAAGTTATTGATCTAGAAATACAATGTCCAATTAGTGCGTTAAGGGTTCCTCCCTTCAAAACTCTTTTAACGGAGGCATATTTGCCATTACAACAAAAGAATTTGTTTGACGGATGCATACAAACACCAGAAACAATGCCACAGTTATTTGGTATGTAAGAAATTTTTATAATTTTTATTTTTTTATTAGTAAAGATTGTTTATAACTCAAATTAATTTGATTTACAGCTGTTCATCTCAAGGATTGTTATATAACTATATTCTTGAAATAATATTTTTTTTTCTTCAAATGATTAATAAATACATGTAAATATATCATCCCCAATTCAGCATGAACTAATACTGAATGAATCATCTCATATTGTCATAGGAATTTGATAATAGACAATGATTCTGTAAAAGATACTGAAAGTCACATATATTCTGTGTAAACCACAACTTCTTCACATACAATAAATAATTGTTACTGTTGGAGCTCGAGTAATGGCAGTATTTGACCTGAAATTCATAAGAAAAACGTCAAAAAATTACACGGACTTTTTTTAACTTTTTACTTAATCCTCCAAGTAAAGTAATGCCATATACTCGGACCAATATATTACAATTCATTTAGTGCTTCCAAACAATGCATTTCACATGTTCATTTCTTCAACGTTTAAAGAGTTTTTATGAGTCTGATATTTACAATTGCGGATTTAATCACATATGAAAGTTGATTCATTTGAATGAGATATCACATTTGAATACGCATACAACTAGAACATAAAAAAAAAAAAAAAAAAAAAAAAAGGGATTGGGGCTTCCAGGCACTTCGTGCCCTCTAGCCCCGAAGATGTTTTGTCACTTTTCTGTCACTTTTCAGGGAAAAAACATTTTTATTGTATATAAAATGAATTTTACAAAACCACCGTTACCCTTCTTTGGAAATAAGAGTAGATGTAAAGATATTCTATTGAGAGAACTTAAGAAACTACCGAATGGTCTAACATTTGTAGATTTGTTCGGTGGAAGTTTCTATATATCCCATTTGTGCCATACAATATTCCCAGACTCAAAGATTATATGCAATGACTTCGACAACTATATGAACCGTCTCAAACATATACCAGACACAAACAAAATATTGAGTGAGTTGAAAGAAAAGATACCTATAGGCAAGATGGAACGTATACCATTAGATAAGAAAAATACTGTCAGAGAGGTTTTGAAAAAAGCAGAGTATATTGACTGGGATAGTATATCTTCTAGACTATTATATAGTGGTGCTATAAGAGTTCATGACATTGAAACACTTATGTCAAAAGTTTTATATCTTAACTATACAAAGGTTTTCAAAGAGAACATAGAAAAATATACTGAGGGTATAGAGTTTGTGAGATGTCGTTGGACAGAGTTGTATGAAAAATATAAAAACAAGGAAAATGTTTTCTTTATAGTAGACCCGCCGTTCTATAACACATATGATTTTCAATACCAAGTAGACTGGACTTTGAGAGACTCTTTAGAAACTTTAGACGTTTTACATAACCATCCATGCTTTTACTTTACATCCGATAAAAGTGGTTTGGAAACCGTTATGAGATGGTTAGAGGACATACATGACTATGAGTTTATTTACGATAAAATAGAATATGAGAGAGGTCCTATAAACCGGAAAAAGTGTCATAACAAAGAAATTTTATTGGTAAGTAAATGTGGTTTGAAATAGGACTACTTGTTTTAGGTTTTTTCCATTGTGTCATTTACTTATTTGACGTGGCAGAAAGATATAGAGAATATGAAGATGAACCAATACCAGCAAATGTCCAGCATATGTACTCGTAAGAGATATTTTTATCTAATATTAAATGGACGCACAGAACTTAGCGAATGCACAGCAACCTGGACAACCAAACCCAGAGAATATTCCAAATGAAGTTAGAATACAAACTGCAATGGCAAACTATGGTCAAGTGCCAACAGATGTACAAATGCAAACTGCCATGTCAAATGACGCTGCGTTAGGCTTACCACCATGGTATGCAAATATGAGATGGAAAGAGTTTTATACAAACCCTGAAGTGGGATATAAACAACTCTATGCAGATGACGCGAACACAGGAGTTGACCCAGAGTATGTTTTCTACCAGAGGAGAAATAGAATGTATGAGCTCCAGTTAAAAAATGCTATGGAACTCAGAAGGAAACGTAAGAGACTAGGTGGACATTAGATTTTTACATATAGTAAAATGGGTTTCTTTGGAAGAATAGGAAACTTCTTTCGAAATGTTGGAAGAGGTATATGGAATGGAATAAAATCTGTCGGAAGAGGAATTTGGAACGGAGTCAAAAATATTGGTAAAAGAGTAGGTCAGTTTGTTGGTATTATACCTAAAGACCCTGAACCAGAAGAACAAGCTCCTGTTATACAACAGCCTGAACCTGCACCACAGTCTAGTTGGCAACCAAATCCAACACCTCAACCGTATTAAAAGATTATATTTTTACCGTTCGATAGTAGTTGTATATGAGACTAAGTTCTAAGTAAAACGCATGGTATAATGGAACTATTCTCTTTCTTCCATCTGTTGTAAACCATACTTGAAAGTCTGAAATACTTCCACTCGGCGGTTCATATAGCTTTGTAGGTTTTTCGTAAAAGTCATTTGCCAAGCATAAAAAAGAGTTTTGTGCACCAGAAAATGAAGCATGAACGATAATAGCATCTGAGTCGAAAACATTTTCATATGTTCCATTAGGGTTTTCGACTTCATAAAAGTCCGGGTGTACTGGATATTCTGCAGGCTGATTTAACATCCTCAAAAATCTATACCATGCCAAGTTGTTATATTTTGTAGAAATATAAACGTTGTCTCCAAGGTCTTCTATTCTATTGATTTTAACAGTTGCATTTTTCCTGTCATATATAATATCGAGATGGTACTCTCCTTCGTCAATGTTAAACTGGTTTGCATATTCGAGATAGATATCGTTTATTTTTTCTTGAAAAGCTTGAAGAGTTGTTTCTAAGTTTACAAGCAAATTCACTTGTAAAAGTTTTCCCTGTTCAAATTTCTCATACGTACGTTTTTCTTTGTTATAGTATCGAACTTCAAAAGCGACCGTAAATGGGAAACCATGTATGGCTTCTGAAATGAACTTCATTCTACGAAAGCCAATAGCTTTTGTGACAGATGGGTCTCTTAGCCATCTTAGTGGGTAGTCAAAACGATAGCCTTCATGCTTTACGGTCTCTGTCTCAAACTTTTGACCGACATTCGTAAAAAGTTCATCTAATGGTTTAGTTGTAGCAACTCTTGAATTTTCTTTTTCTATTGAAAGCATATTTTATCTAGAATAAAAATGTCGAAAGAAACAGCGTCTATGAGAGAAATACAACACAACCGACAACTCATTGTACAAGCTCTAAATAAGAACACAACAAACTTTTCAAACTATTCTAAGATATCTGAGTCATTGAAAGAAGGAAACTTAAAACTGACATTAAACCCAATGACAGACGAGTTTCTGTTTCAAGACAGTAAGAACCATACTGTCTGTATAAATCCAACAAAAGGAACTTTAAACGAGAAACCTATAGATGAACTTCTTTTGAAAGCAGATGTTGACAACAAAGCTGACAAAGAGTATGTCATTGAAAAAGTTCAAGAAGAACATGACAGAGCAGATGCAACATATGCAACAAAAGAACATACTCATCCTGAACTAGCAGACAAAACATATGTTGACAATAAAATGTCAAGTGAAGTGACAAGAGCTGACAAAGAATATTCTAAAAAGACTCATACACATACCATTGCAAATATTACAAACTTACAAGAAACCTTAAACAGGAAAAGTGACGTTGGACATACACATACATCTTCTGAAATAACAGACTTAAACGTTAGCCTTGAAAAGAAGGCAGATAAGAACCATACACACGATTTCTTCGCAACTGTTGGTATAGAAAATATTGCAGGAACGGTTGAAGAACCTGATGGAACTGGTGGGGATGTATTGTATTGGAAACCTCCTAACTTTCCACAAGGTTTAACATCGGAGGATGACATAACGACGATGAAATACATTAGATGTAGAAATGTCTATGTCATGGAGGATGAAAACAATGTTAAATTCACTGCTCAAGATTTATATGATAAAAAAGCTGACAAAACATATGTTAACGATGAGTTAGATAAAAAAGCTGACAAAACATATGTTAACGATGAGTTAGATAAAAAAGCTGACAAAACAGAGCTTCAAACGTTAAAGACAGAAATACTTCAAACAGTATATCCTATAGGTTCTATTTACACGTCAATGAACTCTACCAAACCAGAAGTAGTACTTGGTTTTGGAACTTGGACTCAAATAGTCGACAGGTTTTTGTATTGTGCAAACTCTTCAAAGGAAACAGGTGGGAGTAAAACGATTTCAGGTGAAAACTTACCTGCGCATAGTCACTACGTAGATTTAAGTACATCTCAAGCAGGTTGGCATAAGCATAGATATTGGGATTGGTCAGCAATGATAAAAGGTAAAGGATATGATGTTAAAGACAACGTTAAGTTTGCTATAGATTGTTACTGGAGTAACACTGAGGGAGGAGGAAACCATATACATCGCGTTTCAGGGTATACGCAAACAACGGGACAAAGTAAAGACTACATGCCACCTTACATGACAGTTTACGCATGGTATAGAAATGCTTAGTCGTCATTTTCAACTTCTTTAGCATATTCGTCAGGAGTTGTCTTATATTTGTTAGGAACTGTCTTTGAAAGTATACCACCTTGAACCTTAACAAGTTTGAAACGAGGTCTGACAATAGTAGTTTTATCTTCTGCTTGCAGTCTGTACATTTTGCCATGTTTGCCTAAAACTTCATAATATTCTCTTGTATACTTTCTTCTATTTTTACGAACACGAACGTGAGTACCTGTCGGGTACTTGTTGTTGTCATAGTCAATAGTATTTTCATATGGGTCGCATTTAGGTATTTCTATTTTTACTTTGTCACCTTTCTTAAGTTTGAAGCCCGGCATTCTTTCTTGTTTGTCTCTTTTGACTAAACTATTAAATATATAGTCTTTCTCTAAGTCAGGGTTGTTTTTCATTTCTTCGGGGGAGTGGTTTCCCAAACCTTTTTGTTTACGGCTATTGTAAATATTTAAAACTTGTCTCATCTTTGCCATGGAGAAGTGTCTATATTTGTCGTCATATGACATTTCATCTACCTCACCACCTTGTGGTTGATTTAAGTCTCTTAAGATTTTTATACAACTGTCAATGACACCAAGAGCAGAATGGTTTTGGTCGACAATGAAATATTGGTTTACATTTTTTGAACGCAGATAGTTTTTAATATCGTCTGATTTGAAAGAACTTTCACAGTCAGATGTCAGTTTTGTTGGATGGTATTTGTCAACGAATATTGTCAAAGCAGTTTTCACATCTAAAATATTTTTGGACCATAATGGTATGGCTTCACAGTATCTTGTGTTTTGACCAACAAATATTAGCCAGTATGGTGGTCCATCTTCTCTATACCTCGGAATGTTTTCCAAGATATCCATAAACCAAGCATTTGGTGTTGAACTAAAGATTTTTACCATGAGTGCTTTCTTTGTCGCTTTAGAAACATAGGGGTCCTTGTTTGAATTCGTCATTTTTAACCCATAAGAAATGGGTTTATTTGGCGCATTAGCAGGAGTCGCATCTAGATTTTTACCCGCAGTGGGAACACTAGCCAGAGGTGCATTTGGAATTGGAAGGAAGATTTTGAGTACTTTAGGTATACTGAAAGAGAAAGCACAACCTATTATACAAACCGTACAGAAAGGTTGGGATGTAGCACGAGATGCAGCAAATCTTATTCCAAATCCTGAAACAAGAGGAAAAGTTCAAGGATGGATGGACAATGTAGGAAGACAAGCAGGAAACTACTATAACAAAGCAAATGACTACTATAACCAAGCAGGGCACTACATGGACCAAGGTGAAAGATTCTTTAACAGAGGATATAACCATGCACAACAGTGGGTAAACAACAACCAACCTCAACCGCCTCAAACGTGGGAATGTAAAATTTTTTACTGAGATGAAATGAACAATACAGCATTGAGACAAATGGGCTCAAGATGGCTTTGTCGGCTTCCAGCAGTTACACAACCACGTGTTTGTCAAGTTCTTCCTATACCTCAAGAAGTTTTAGACCGACTTAAAAAACCTAAACAACCAGTTGAAAACAAACCAAACTAAAATTTTTACTGAGATGAAATGACCGAAGAAGTTGAACGGTAGATTTGACACCACAAACAAAAAGTTCAGAACCATTGTCAAAACCTGTCAAAGAACTTACAGATGAAGAGAAAAATTCAATAATAGAAAGTGCCAGGTCTGGAAATACAAACCCTAACTACAAAGTCACTTTTCATAAAAATGGAACGGCAAGTATCTCAAAAAAGAAACAGACTCTCACAAATAAAATATTGAAGTCGGAAGGAGCTTTCGAGACAACAGATGGAAAAGTTTACTTCACTGACCAACAGTTCATTATAGAACATCTCATTGACTTAGAGTCGAAATATTCTAAACTTTACAACAAACACAAAAAGTTGAAAGGAAAACAAAAACAGATGGCATATGACATTTATGAAGATGTTGACGACACAACTGTTCAAGCAAGTGAGGTAAAGTCAGATGAACCGAAAAGTGACGAAAAACCAATAGAAGAAGAGAAACCAAAAACTGAAGAAAAACCAAAACCAAAGGTTAGTTTCCAAACTAAACCAAGCCAACCTTCATTAGCTGGTATGGGTTGGCGTCAAAGACTTATGGTAGCGGGTGGTTACGTAAAGTAAAGAAAAAACATTTTTTTATTTTTATAGAAATGCCCCCATATAGAATGGATAGAAGGTCTGCTAGAATAAAAACAGAGTTAGAAAGATATGGTTGGAGAGTTTCAAAGAAGTTTAAATATAGGAAGGGAAAGCCAATAAAAGTCTATGACAAATTGTCTGGTCTTCGCTATGAAATGGACTTGGAAACAGCACGCGCAAATTATCCAAACAGACTAGAGAGGTTAGAAGAAGAACGTCTTATGGACATGCCTTTCGATGTTAGTGAACCTCAAGTTGAAGGACACGACGGCTTTGCCAGGTTCTACTGGAAACATGACGAACAATTGCATCCTTTGAGAAGGAAAAAAGGAAAAGGTGAAGACGCACATGCTCCCATGGAAAGAACAAGATATGCATATGAAAAGTATCGTGAGGTTAGAAGTAAAATTACATCTGGTCGAACCTTTACAGTAAATTTTGACGAAGGAAAGAACAAAGAAGGCTTCATGGGTGTACTTGCTGCAATTCAAGACGGAAATAAGAAAGGATACAATCTCAGACTAACCGTAACAGATTTAGATGGTCATATATACTATGCACATGGCAATGTCACAACAGCCGCACAACTTCTTGACGCTTTCAAGACTACAAAGAGAGAACAAATGGTTGACTCCGACTCAGACATTTTGAATGCAATTGAAGGGATTGCAAGCGTGAAGTTCGAATGGTACCAACCTAACCCTCAAGCAGTCAGACAACATGCTGGTTATTTCCCGTTCAGAAATAAGTCTGACATTGACTTAACCAGGTATGGAATTTACAATTCAATTGAAACAATTGTCAATGAACCTTGTATTCTCACATGTCTCAGGAACTCTGGTCTTGTTACAGATGAGAAGATGAAGTATCTTGAGTCATGTGTGAAGACAAGGTACATTCTCAGAAGTCAATTGGCAAAAGTTGCACCGTTGGCAAATGTCAATATCCGAGTCAACATTCCGACTGAGAAAGGTTCTTCACATGACGACTATGTTGTTGACTTCAAATTACCATGGTTGAAGATTGTACTTGTCCACAACCACTTCATGTTGAACGAAAGTCTTACAAACCCATTGTTCGGAAAAGGTAAGTGCAACATTGTCAGAGCTGTTAACATTCTTTTCGAGAAAGGCTTGTTGGAACCAATTCCAGATGACAAGCTGACAGAAAGTTTTGTACCAAAAGACGAAACAAACTTTTCATTGTTGGTAAGACCAAAAGTTGTTCCAGACAAAGTTATAGCACAAAAGAAGTACACAGTTCCAAAAGGAGTTGGTTTGTTCGGATACCAACCTGAACCAGAAGAACTTCCAATGAGGTTGCAAGAACTTCAAGATGCTATAAACAAACTTCCATTGAGGCATCCAATCGACGTCAAATTGTATTGGAGAGCTTCTGAGTTAGGTCAGAAGGTTTTATATGAAACAGGTTGCTTTGACGATGTTTATGAGATAACAGGAGAAGTTTCTCAGAAGATAAGAGACTCACTTGAATTTCCACAAACTGGACCCATTGGATGCGACAAGTTCGACTCATATGAAAAAATATACTATGTCGACCTTAACGCTGCGTACATGAGGTTTGTCCAATATATCCCGACTGGAATTCCAAACGAAGACGGTGACTTCCCGGGAAGGAACTATACAGTTGGAAAGGTCATACAACAAATGTATGATATTAGGAAAGCTTCAAACCCCAAACTTGCAATGACACTCAAATTGCTTATGAATTCGACATGGGGATATTCCATTAAGAAACCTCAAAAGATGAAGAGTAAACACTATGAGAAGGTCGACAACTTTGTTGAAAGGTTTTCTCCTTTTGTTTTGAAATACGAGTTCACCGAAGGTCAAAATGGCTTAGTAACCACAGTAAAACCTATTGTCGAACATTGGTCCTACCCTCAGTTCGCAAAGGCAGTCCTTGACAACTACAACAAATTCTTCTCCGAGGTCAAATCCAAAGTGAAGGTATACTATGAGAACATCGACGCACTCATGACGAACGAAGAAGGATACAACAAACTCATTGAAATGGGAATGGTCGGTGAAAAGATGGGCTGTTTTAAGCTAGACAAGGTATTTTCCGAAGTTCATGTAATATCGAAAAGGAAGTACTGGGGTATACTTGAAGACGGCACAGAAATAAAACATTGCATGAAATAAAAAAATTTTATTCGAATTTGAATTTAAATGTGGGGAATTCTTGGTCTCAAACTCATATATAACCTGTTTGTTTGTATTTTCGTCGACTATGGCACGAGACACAAACATTGACCAAACGGACAAAAAGTGTCATTTCAGATGGTCAAGCAGCCAATCGCATTCGAGCACTTCGAAGAAGCCTTACGTTCCAAGGGAGAGGGTGTCTGGTGCAAGGCAGAGGTCATGAGACTCTACGAGCAGTACATCCTCAATGCCTGGGAGGACAAATCGTCCTTGGATTGGCAATTCTACCAACTCCTCTGGGACGACCTCCTACGCAACTGGGATAACGAAAGAGTCCAATTCAAAGGTCGGGAACTAATTTTGCAAATGACCATTAATTTAACCTACTTATCCAACTAAACACCTAAATTTACTCGGGGTTTCCCCCTAAAATAAAATTTTTTTACTCTTAGAACCACTCGAGGTTCTCCTTACGGTTGTTGAGCTTGTCACCGTCAATGTGTCTGACCTTCGTCTTCTTGTTTGGATTTGGAACCCATTGCATACCGACAAGCCTTCCCATGGAAATTGTACCGTAATTCCGAAGAGTAAGGCTCAAGTGTCCCAAGTTGTTGAGGACTGGGGTAAGAACCTTGCCGGTCTCCTTGTTGCGGATTTTGTATGGGTAGGGTTGGGAAATTTCATAACCGTCATCGGCAACAAGGGTTGCCCAAACTTCCTTTTCTTCGTGTTTCTCTTCTTCTTCCTCTTCTTCTTCGTGTTTCTCTTCTTCCTCGAAAATTCCTTCTTCAATTTGGTACTCACGAAGTACGGTGTTGCATGTTCTGTCCTTTCCGAGTACCTTCCAGATGGCGTCTATCTCTTCGAAGAAACGGTAGATGAGTCTGGCAAGGTTGGTTCTCTCTTGTATTGCGCAAGGTTTCCGCGAAATCGTTCAGGCATTTCTCATTGGAAGCTTGGTTCATGAGGAACTTCACTTTGAGATTGGTCATCTCTTCATAAGACTACTTTGGATAGTCTTAATGGTGTTGTCAGATGAGCGTTCAATTGGCAATTTGATTTGAACTGGGCGCTTGTCTGGCAACCTTGAAAGGACATCTGCCATTGAGTTTGGCTTCGGTGCTTGTTCGGACATCGAAAAAATGAAGTGGTTTGAGAATGACGGTTTTACTTCAAAAAGCTTGTTATGACGGTTAAGTCATACAACAAGTTTAAAATAATATCTTGTTCTTCTTCTGAACGTTTGTTGTCTCTTCCGATAAAAGTTTCGAACATGAGAACCAAAAAACGTTTTTTGAGATTGCGGAAGAGTTCAGGCAAACGTTCATATTCTGGATATGTTGGGAGCAGTTCGAAACATCTGAGCTGACTTTCGGACAAAATTGGGACAATGTCAACAAATTCATCTTTGGTCGGACTGCTTGAAGGTAAGTCCCTTACATGTAAGTAGCTCTGGTAAAGTCTTCTCATTTCTGCTAACTTTTGGAGTATAGCTTCGTAGTTTAGAAGTTTTAATTTTAATTGTCTTATTCCACTCTTGACATCTAAACGGTAACTATCCATGAGGTCAAGAGTAGCTTTGGTAGCTTTAAGTGGAGCTATCTGTTCCTTGACTTCTGCAATTTTGGTTGCAATTGTGATTTGAGCTCCTTCAAGTTCGCCGTCTATGTCGTTCTCAACACCTTCAACTATAGCTTGAAACTCTTCATCGGTCCATTGAGATTGGTGTGGGACGAATTTAACTTGCTTCATTCAAAAAAAGAAAAAAATGTTTTTACTCAAAGCGTGCCATGTATATGGCTATAAGAAACTTACCAGAAGGCTTCTTCTTCATATGCGTAAAAACATAAAAAAGTGAAGTTAAAATGAGATGTTTACTGAACTGGCTGAAGAACTGGCTGAATGTCGCCTTCACAGGTTATGTAGAACGGCTGACCCGAGAAGTGAAGGAGA